TTCACAAAGTGTTGTGCATTAATAAACTATAAAAGAGACTATTACGTGCAGTCTCTGTTAGAATGCGGAGAATAGAGTAGAATATAGATAGCTTACAATGAGAAACACAGTGACAGAAGATAAATGGTTGCAGAATGTTAATCTTTACACGCCAAAGTAAAGGGCTTTTGCAGTACACAAAGCGTGCACAATTAACAAGCAAACAAACCTAGAACCCACCACCAGTTCAGTAACCAAGCATGATCAATGATGGGGAAAAAGCAGTTAAAGAACACAGCAACGTAACCAGCATGTGACCACTAAAGCAATACTTTTACCACTTGCCCTAAACCCCAAGAACAGCTTAGCCTTATACCTTGTATCAACCTTTAGGTAAGTTCTGCTTTCTCTCGTAAAAGTCTCGGTATTCCACTACCCAGTCCCTTGGGATTCGGCTGGTTGGCTTATGAAGCTGCACATACAGGGCCCTTAAGGCAGAATATTATTTTTCTTCCGTAAATGAGTTCTGCTCCTTTGGGTATTTATAACCCAGAATACGAGCCTAAAAGGAGGAAATGACCAAGAGGTAATTAGGAAAAGACATCATAGTACTTATATACCAAGTGTGGCAGCCGTGGTCATCGGGACTTTTGTTGTAAAAATGGCACATTTTTCTACTGTTCATACAAAATTTCTTATTTAAAGATAAGTGTGGTATATACGGTTTCGCCGTGTGGTCAATGATATGAATGCCTCTTTCCAAGCATCGTTTCTTTACCATTTAAGAACTGATGGCATGTCTTAAAAGAGCAAAGAAAAGTTTTTAGGAAATAGAGCATGCTTTTTTTGGCTCCTCTTGTATGCCTGATGACTCCTATCTTATGGGTCCAAGAACAAATGCATAAATTAACACCTTCAAAAGATTGCCATGTGCTCTGCAAAAATTACAAACTAAATTCCCAGCTTTGAAGACACCGTGGGAGATGAGAAAATGATGTCGCACGAAGCGATAGTGGCAGAAATTGAATTCACTGAATGACTGTACAGTTACAGTGTATTGACAGCCCATAAAACCCGTTAATACAAAGTAAATAGGAAAATGCCAGGTTATTTCAAATAGTGGATTTAATTGACGAAGGGTAATTGATGGGGAAATAACCGTTGAAATACAAGATAAAAGAGCAAGAAATTACTTTCAAAGGACAAAAAGAATTCTCGTTTTCAGCACAGCTTTAAATCATTTTTGTTTCGATTTTAAAAAGTGTGTTGGGAGGGTAACTGCTTGGTCTCATTTGTTGTAGTATAGTCCTCCACTGAACTTCTTTCAATATACCTTTAGTAGATATATTTTTAAAAACGAGCTCATTTTATTGGCTCGACTGTGAAAACCTCAACAGACTCTTGTATATAAAGAGAATATGTTCATGTCTGAACATCTTCAAAACGGAGGGAAGTTTGGAGCTCTTATGAAAATAATCAAAAGCAAAGTGCGGCCACATACTTCGTAATTGTGCATGTTTATCAACACGGGTAAAGAAACAGCTAAAGCGAACGGGATCCGATGTATAATGTTATAGCTGGTGAAAACTGACGCCTCTTGGATGCTTGGTCCTTTGTCTGAATGATTCCATATGGACTAATGAACAGTTAACTGCGTATTCATTCAGCTTCATTTTATAGAAAAGAGCCCGTTAGTCCTTTCATATTCCAAAAAATCTCTCTAAATCATGCAGCTGTAAAACTGATTTTAATGTACAGGCAACCTTTTTAAACAAGGGTATGTTTGTTAAATAATGAGGTCAATTAAACTTTTGGGAAAGGGTATGTGGTTCTATTTTTTTTATTTAAATTGAATTTTAAATGAAATGTCAGTTCAGCCATCTAGTTAAATTGATCAGCTTTCTTAACCACTTTAAAATAGTCAGATTGTCTAATTTGATTGATTGATTAATTTGAAATAAAGATTAGGGGATACTAATATAAATTGTATAAATGTAAAAAAAATGCACATTTTTAAAGTCATCTTTAATGTCCACGTCAAACCAATGCAGCAAAGCAATAGAAAAAAAACCCCAAACATCGTTGAGGCTTAACAGCAGTGGAGTTTAAGAGGACAATCGTACTCAAGATTTAACAGAGACTCGTTTCGAACATTGTGTACAGGCATGGTAGCTGTTACCATAAAAAAGGAACCTTAGAAAGAGATCAAAGTAGAGCAGCAAGAAAAACTCCTGATCTCAGTGAGTTGTCATGTATCCGATAGAAATTCCAACAGTTTCTTAAACGGCCTCACAATCAACTTCACTGCCATGGCTAGGAGCTGGCTTCAGGCTCATACAGTCATCTGTGTAAGAATACAAACATTGCCAACTAGAGGAGACTCTTAGGGCCGTCTAGTTTACAAACCCGTCTGCCGTCTTGTGCTCTGAATTCTCCCAAACCTGATTTCGGTTTTTACATCGTTACTCCTCCTGAAACAATCCCTCGATTTGTTTTTGTCCGTTTCTGAGCTGCAAGGCGATTTTTATTTTTTATTTTTTTGCGGCTAAAAACGTTCAGCGTCTTCAATGGCCCTCCCACATCAACGATTGACAACCAAATGATTCGTGCAGTGTACCTGTCAATTGAGCTAAAATACTAAGATTTGTCTGCAGCGTATAATATGCCCAACACTTGGCTTTGAAAGGCGAGCGACGCGTGGTTTTGTAGCATTTATTGAAACTAGACGGGTTAGATGCATACTGGGGCTGTATGAATTGGCCCTTTCTAAAAAGCGAGAAAGATGAAAAGCTCCGAAAGTGAAAATGATTTATTCCCTTTCTCTCGACAGCTGAGTTTTCAGTTGTTCCGCCAATTCTAATCTTGTAGCTTTGCTACCATCTGGCGGCAAGATATACAGTAGGGGACAAAAAGCTTATCATCCCAATTATATTTAAGTGGGTCTAACATCTTTTTGTTCAGGACAATCACGGGTGGCGATTGTTTTCCACTCTTTTGTGTTTTTCCTCTTTCGTGCTACGAAATATTTAAGTGATTTCTTTAACTTTTTAACTGAACGGATCTGCTAAGATTGGCTAAAAGCTGTTGAAAGGTGTGGGTTGTCAGGAGACAGTTGTCTCGCAGTTCCTGGCCCCCTAACTGTTTCCCAGAAAGGGAATTGGGTGTCTTTGAGTGATCTCTGCATGCGATATTCGGGTTTGGTTTTGTTTACCCAAATTCTGGTGTGAATAGCGCCGTGTCGCATGTGCATTTGAAAGAGTACATCGTGTGAAAGTTAAATGAGATGGCACTCCGACTTAACCTTCACCATATCGTTCTGAAGACATTCTTAGTAACACTGCATAATTTAGGACTTGTGTGAACATTGACCAAGGGGAAAGAATTAAAGATCACTTTGTTTCATTCTTTTTGTTTTATTGACATGACTGTTTCATCCCCAATGGGAGTAGCTGGTGTCAATATGAAACTAGCTGTTTTTACCCTTTTTTATCCGTTCGTCCCCCCCAAAATAAAATTAGGGAAGTGTGCAATTGTTAAGTTAAAGAAGACAGGCATAACACAACGTGGCATTGTTCCGTCAGAGGAAAAAATATCTCTGTTGTTTTTCTGTTAACTTATCTCAAAACACCAATGTCTTTCTTGTGTAGTGGAGACCAGAATGTTATATAATAATCCAAATCAGGTTAGAATCAGGTCACCACTCTTAGCCTTTTCTGTTCACAACTAAAATGATTTGCTTCTTTTAACCTGTCAGTGCATCCCCGTTAACACAGAAATGTACCTAGTTACTCATTCTAAAGGAAAATATTTTGTGGCCATAACTGTATCCAATATTCTATAAAAGGCACTGTACGTCTATATATAATCCCATCTAAAATCCTTAGTATACATTTTATAAACGTTGTTTGTTTTTCTATCTGCGATTGTACCCATTGATTGTCACCAATCAGCAGATATGCTAGGCTTTAGAGTATAAGTATGTATCTACATTTTTACCTGTGTGGAGCACCTGATGAACAAACATTTCCCCCCCAAAACGTCAGAGACGGTGTAGGAGCTGTAAGGAGAGGTGTCTGTCCCTTTAAGAGGGCAGGCAGGAGCAGCCGCATGGAGAGGGAGAGTGGAAATTGTGTGGTTTTCAACTTAACAACAGGACACTCTCGGCTGTGGTAAAGTATGGCAATAAACTAGCTCGTTGCTGTTATTCTCGCAGTATTTTTTAGTGAATACAGCTGAAAGGTTGTAGATAAACTGTGATATCCGACGGTCAAAGTCGAAATTCGCGACTTAAATAGCGAACAGACAATTCCAGAACATTTTATTGGCTCGGTTTCTTATGACTTCTGTTTTTTTTTTAATTGTCGGTATCCAGCGGGGGGACAAAAAGGCTTTGTGTCTTTTATTTTAAAAGTCTTTTTGGTTAGATATATTATAACTTTATAAAAGGCTTTTTATGTTTGCGCATGGTTTTCTGTGCACGTTACTTTAAAAGTACCCTATCCTGTACGTGTGCTCAAATTGTGCCAATAAAGTTATTCAATATGTATTTGCCCTTCGTGGTAATCCTGCCAGACTTGAAAGTAATGGTAACGTATTACATGTTAAGAGTAGATGAATGTTTCGTAGAGCACTGCGGTGTGTAAAAAAAAAATGATGGGGTTGTGTGGGAGACCTGGTTAAACCTGGATGGCTCAGCGTGGCCTTTTAAAAAAAAAATAGCGGGTCGCGAAAACACCGTGAACCAGGAAATGAATGACTGGGAGCGAGTACCGCCATGCTTTAAAAATGCATTTCCTAAAATAAGGCTCTGAGCCTATGCATCTGCAACGGGAACAGAGCAGTTTTTGTTTTGTGGTCTTCCTGGACTTCGTGCATCAGCCCCTGTCAGTCATTTTTTTTTTAATCAGAAGATCTGTTGCAAACGCGTGGATCGCTGCACCGGCAGCTGTAGTTCATGTGCATTTAAGGAGGTTATCCCCTCGTAGCGATAAGGGATTTATTGCATTTAATGCTCTTTACCTCTATTTTTCGTCCAGTTGCTAGGACTTTCTTTATCGTCGCCACCCCCGAAACATTGTGAGTGACGTTGTTTTTCTGTCGACTTGCTAGTTTGCAAGTCCTAAAAAAGCTTTTTGCATGTTTACCAAAGGCCATGCGCGTAGACAGCAGCAGTTGCTTTAATTGAGCTTCTCGGTGCTGCATGATAACTGAATGATTCTGCGTAATCGCGGTGTAGGCGCGTTTATATACAGCTCCTTTCAGTAAGTTATGATTGTTTTTGACTTAAGGGTTTCCTTTTAATTATCAATAGTATCAAAATGTCTACGCCTGTTGGTCGTTGGATCTCTTTACAATGACGTGGCATGGTGTGTCGGTGTTGGACATCAGTTGTAGCTATATTTACTAAGTGGCGTGCGTTCTATGGTCCAGAGACATAAATACAAATATTCTGCAGTGGTCCTATACTACCTGTGACAAGCGGTAATATCTGCCTCTATATTGCTTAACATATGTAGCCAAAGTCGTGATATCTGTGTGCACTGCATGTTAAGATCTGTATAAGGCCTGTATGTTTGATTTTCTGTTTGTCTCCTCTAACAGTAGAAGAGACCAACATGCCTGGAAAAAAGGCTGCAAAGAGGCCCAGCCCATCAGTGGAAGTCAAGCCCTCCAAGAAAGTAAAAGGTAGGTCATTGAGTGTCCAGTGGTCTCTCTGACCTATAGTAGCCCTCTCATGCTGGGGCTGCTGAAAAGCATTGGGAAGAGTTCTGGCTGTAAAATGGTGTTTATTAATTACTGCTGGTTTCTGTACATCGGGAAAACTACACATCTTCAGAGGAGGCATTCCATTAGGAGTTCTTTTATTGTAAACAAGTTAGCATTTTCAGAGTTCTTTCCTTCTACTTTATGATCCAATTCTTCTGTTGGGTGTTTTTTGCAGTCAGTAAAGTAGTTGTATTTATGTTTGCATCCCAAATATGATGTAAACTTCACATCAAGTAAAATCTGGGGCTAATGTGTGCATGACTGAAGTATAGCGCCCCATATAAGCATACTGGTTTGCTTAAAGCTCCGATTCATGCATGTCCTGTGTTGCCCAATTCTAGATCAGTGAGTGTTAATGTCAGACTAATACCAACAGTATTCACCTATAATTAGGACAAGTTGAACTTGAGGATCTTGACCGAAATGAGAAGCCTGGTGTATTTGAATGACACTATAAGTGTTTTCCTCATTCATATACAATACAGTTATACCTTATTTCTGATTTGTTTGCAAAAAACATACAAAAACTATGTTTAATAAGCATTAGATTAAAATAGATATAACATTACACAAATGACATCAACCTATACATAGTCCTTATGTACCACTCCTACAGGAATCCGCACAGATAACCAGAACCTGTGAGTTTACTCCCTTCCACAATCACTCCAAGCTCCTATAATTTCACATTACCACTTCATTGTGCACCTAACCCCTCATTGCACGGAATTCCTCAATTGGTTAAGTCTGCATTGAAGGACTCTAAAGCACCTATGTGAGGGCATCAGTCGGTATCCTGTGGGAATTTACATTTTTCTAAGAAGAATTCATAGTCTGCAGCACAAACCTGACATGCATTTTATTTACCTGCCACTCTTTAGCAGAACCTTGCGCAAAGTTGCTTTGGCAGATTTCCAGGCGCATTCACTTGACCATGTGCTTGCTCTGACGTGTCGCATAATCCCAGCTGTTCCCTCCTCCCACAGTGTCCCACGGCTCCCATGGGAAGCAGGCGGGGCAGGTGCTGGTGCTGGGGCAGGGGGACGTTGGGCAGCTGGGGCTGGGCGAGGATGTGATGGAGAGGAAAAGGCCGGCGCTGGTCTCCCTGCCGGAGAGTGTAGTGCAGGCCGAAGCTGGAGGGATGCACACGGTGTGTCTCAGCGACACTGGAAATGTGAGTGACTTCCACCCCCCTCCACCTTTAATGAGTCTTGAAAACCTTATGACAACTTTGTTTCTTTACCCAGCAGATATTTCTAATAAAATAAAGGATCTTCAGTGTGGTGTAAGGGTAGGCTCCAGTGGAATTTAAGGACACGAAACACTGGGCAAACTATTCTTAGACAAGATGGGACCGATAGCCTTCCTTTAATTGTACCATTCTTATTATTTAGGAGCCAAACAAGCATGAGGAAGAGGAGGCCAATTAGCCCTTTCAGCCCATTTGGTAGCAAGAAGCTAATTGATCCAGTTATCTCATCCAGTTTCTCTTGAAAGAAGCCCGACAGAGTATCGAATTTGGCAGCACGGCAGGCCAGCTTGTTCCACGCTCCTGCAACCCTTTGTGTAAAGAGTTGTCCATTATGCCAGTATTGCAGATTTTAAATAATATATTAACCTGACAGTGGCCTTGCTAATTTAACAGATCTTTAACATGGTATGTTACGGCCCTGACTAAAACAAAGTGTGCCAGTGATTTAAAACATACAACTCAGTGCGCTAACCGCAAGCCACTCTTATAGAGAGAAAAGCTTGTAATTATTTGCAACTGTCATGGCACAATATGAAAGTCCCATATCGTGGTCTGAGTAAGCCTGTTCTGTGTCTGGCTTCTAGATTTACACTTTTGGCTGCAACGACGAGGGGGCCCTGGGCCGGGACACGTCGGAGGAGGGCTCGGAGACGAGGCCGGGGAAGGTGGAGCTGCAGGAGAAGGTGGTGCAGGTGTCTGCAGGAGACAGCCATTCAGCTGCTCTGACAGAGGACGGCACCGTCTACATCTGGGGCTCCTTCAGGGTACGGAGCCTTTGAACAAAAAGGACCCCAGGAGACTCCGAACTCTGTGAGATGGTGACGGTTTTTGTTTCTGAGCTTTCTTAACTTTACGGTTTTCCCCACTGCCTCAGGACAACAATGGAGTGATTGGTCTGCTGGAGCCAATGAAAAAATGCACATTGCCTGTCCAGATTCCTATTGAGGAGCCCGTCGTAAAGATTGCATCAGGTGAGGTGACTTCACTTTACAGTTCACGGTTATTATAATAAGAAAAAATGTCTTAAGGTTGGCACCCTATTTTAAAATTCTATTAACCAACATCAAATTCCTATGAAAATGCCTGGCAGAAATATTGTCGTCTGGGATGACTGGTTCCAACTTCCCAGTTCAGTCATAGTCTAACAAAACCTGGAACCTAAAGAGCTGTGTGTTTCTTGTGTGCAAAACTACTCTTGTCAGGCGTGTTTAACAGTGTTCGTGGCAAAAACACGGTGGCATCATGAAATCTCAGCTCTTGTGCATCTAAAATATTCAAAAGGCATAGAGAGGCGCTTTGAGAGCCACCTCACTGGGGTCCCCCCAGGATCGGTGCAGAGTGAATTGAAGACTCACCACCTGCTTTGCCTCCCTCAGGTAATGACCACCTGGTGATGCTGACACTGAGTGGGGAGCTGTACAGCTCGGGCTGTGGCGAACAGGGCCAGCTGGGCAGGGTGCCTGAACGCTTCACCAACAGAGGAGGCAGGAAGGGATTAAGTAGGTGCACCGAACCCCCTTTTCCCCGAGAGGGACTCAGGGTCAGCCTGGCATGACATGGGCATTGACTCCAATGTTCTCTTGTTGTTTTTAGTGTTTTTTGATAACGTTTTCTCGTTTGAGCCCTGTGAACTCTTTGGCTGTTTGCTTCTTGTCCCTGTAACCCTAAAACTCTCATCACATAAAAGTCGGTCTTGACATTAAGATATTTTCACTCACTGCCTGGACTGTCTTGTTAGTTATCTTTTTTTAGATTTGCTGAAGCAAGACCGTGTTGAGATAATGACTTGCATCTTAGTGATGAGGAACGTGGCAGCTGCAAAGTTAATTTTTGAATCAGTTGGGATTCAAAAATACATGCATCCTCCACTTGTTTTGTCGAAGAAGTATTTAGCTCATTCATTTCTTAATACTCTGAATAAAGTGGAATTTTGTGACGCTATTTCTGGATTTGAGTTCTGTGCTGTCTGGTGTCACTACAGAGCGTCTCCTGGTGCCCCAGCGCGTCCTGGTCCGTGCCAGAGGCAAAGTTCACTTTAAGGATGTGTTCTGCGGTGCATACTTCACCTTCGCTGTGTCCAAAGAGGGACATGTCTATGGCTTCGGGCTCTCCAACTACCACCAGCTTGGTAAGCATCAGCTGTGGAACGATTTATTTCTTCCACATTGTCATGTCATGTCATTTTTTGACTTTGACTCTTTCCTGTTGCAGGGACACAAGGCACTAGCTCCTGCTTCTCTCCAGTCAAACTCACCGCCTTCAGGAACTCCACCACATCCTGGGTGGCCTTCTCTGGGGGCCAGCATCACACCATCTGTCTTGATTCTGAGGGTGAGGCACCCAGATATCACAGTGTCCCCAGCAGAATAGGCGTCTTGTTCATTGGTTTAAGGGGACAGAATCTTAACTTGCATTAAGTCTACTGTAGTCCATACCTGACAAAGAGAGTTAGCTCTAAGCTGAGAGGTGGTGCTTTCCTCTTTGATGCCGCTGCAAGACCAAAGGGTACCTGCTCAGTCATGAGCTGGCAGTTAGCAGGAAAGCTGAGGGAACTCATGCTCTTGTATGCCCAAAGCTGAGGAATCCTGGTCATGGGCACACAGTGACATGACTTGGGCTCTGAATAGAAAGATAACATTCAGCCTGGGCTCATGGTTAAGCCATTCATGCGTGCTTTGAGCCTTATTGTTGAGTAGTCATTGAAGTCTGTTTAGATTTAGCCGAAGAGTGCGTAACCCAGGGATCTTGTAGCTTTTGTTTAACATCTTTAAAGGCGATAAGAGTCCTTATTAGGTGGTGCTGACTGGGCGATATTCTGTGGAGCCCTTGAGGTGAAGGTATGCGAAGGACTGTGCTATTAGTGAAAGAAGCGTCAGAGTGTGTATCTGAGCTGCTGTGGTCATCCCCACAGGGAAGGTGTACAGTCTGGGCCGGGCGGAGTACGGGCGCCTGGGCCTGGGGCAGGGGGCAGAGGAGAAGGCCGAGCCCACCCCTGTGCCGGAGATGGTGGATGTCCAGTCTGTGGCCTGTGGAGCATCTGTCAGCTATGCTGTCACCATGCAAGGTGAGTCCTCTGTGGTCAGTGTAGCTGCTCTGGCTGATTCTTTTTTTTTACTTTAGTGAAAGATAGTAACACATTAAGATACAAATGAAAAGGTTTTGCGTGGACCACACTTGAGCAGTACGATATTGCACATATTGTCATATGTAGACGTATGGCGTATTTCTGATCTGTTTTAGCTGTTACAAATATTTTTGCAGATTTCTTAAAGAACTATGTACACTCAAAACAATGAAGCTGGATAATCTTTCAGGACTACAGAGAGGGAGAAAATCACATTACATGGGAAGAGAGACAAGAACAACAAAAACATTTTTTTAAATTCAAGTTTCAGTTATTCTGTCTCTCAATACATTTATTTTTGTATTGTATTTACCCCTTCTCGACCAATGTCTAACAAATTTATTCATCCGTAAGTGAGGTGAAAGTTTCATTTCATTTTTTAAATCAGTAGTCATTCTCTGGTGAATTGGAGAGAAGTCATGTTACAGCCTTTTTACTTCCAGGCAAAAGAATTCCAAACAGATACCCAACAGTCCTCCTCAAATAAGAATCCAACGTGCCAAAATGTAACACCTCATATAGAAAGCGGAAATCCCTTTCAAGCATGTTCTTCAGGGCTCCGTGTGTATACCTGTCCAAAAAAGCCTCATTTTGGGGCAGTCCCAGAATATATGCTGGGGATTGTCATCTTGGTTTTTGCTCCAGCTAATTCTGGAAAATGTGTGTTTTTTACAGGGTCTGTGTTTGCCTGGGGCATGGGGACCAATCTGCAGCTGGGCACCGGAGAGGAAGATGATGAGTGGAGCCCCGTGGAGATGATGGGGAAGCAGCTGGAGAACCGTGAAGTGTTGTCAGTGTCCAGTGGGGGGCAGCACACTGTCCTACTAGTGAAGGAAAAGCAGGAGAGCTGATTTGCACCCAGTCCACGCATAGAGAGAGCAAGGGGGAAAGACTTCTGCACTGACACTTCAGTGACCCTTGAGAGGGGATAACCCTGTTACAGTCTTGCTCGGGTCAATGGGAGCCATATCTTCTACTGGTGTTGGATTGCTAGAACACGATCAAAGAAAATATATTTTTTTTAGCTTGAGTATGTTCATTTTTTTAATTATTTTATAAAAATTCTTTAGAATGTTATTCAGGGATGTTGACGTACAGCTGTGTAAAAAAACAACCTTTTAGAATCTTGCTATAAACCTTTTAAACTTAATTCAGAGGAAGCAATAAATACGGTGTTGATAACCTTAACCCCATGATTAGCCTTTGTTATGTAAAACATGATCTAAACTTATTCAGTTCTAATTAAAATAAGATGGGAATGCAGGCTATGCCTTTTGGCATACAGCCATTCCAATTCACAGTTTTGTAACTAATTGGTATTTAGAAAGATCAATATAGCAATAAAGGTTAAATACTCTGTAATGGACTGGACTGTCCTGGCTTCAGCTTCGGTCAGAGGTAGTGTTTGAAATGACCCCTATATTAGGTCCAAAGCTGCTGATGATCAGTAATGAACATTTTCATTTCTTAAATTGATGCTTTTTAATCACCAGCAATGTCAGAAATCCATTAATTGATATAATTGCATGTTATCAGACAAGGGACACTGCTTACTTAAAGGAACAGAATAAAAAAAAAACATCTATTACAGTTAAATTAGTTCCAGGCAGTCAATAAGTGGGTTTGCATATGCTAAAGCATACATGAGCACCTTCTGTCTAAGATGGTGGTTCCTAATCCTGGTCCTGGAGGAGCATTGTGTCTGATTAGCATGAAA